GATGGATTTACTGTACGAAACAACAAAAGATATCCTAAAGCTATGTCATGAAGACTGGGTAGTACTGGGGCAAAGACAGAGAGAAAGAGAACAGGACATAGGGGTCTGGACCCAGACATACGCATGTATGGGAGCTTGGTCTATAACAAAGGAGGAAAGGATTGCCTTTGAAATAAATGGTCTAGGGGACTGCTAGATATCCCCATGCCCAGAAGAAAGAACAAAACGACCTCTCCTTTGTGCCGTATGCAAAGTCCCTTCCAGTTGGATTGCGTATCTGAGTGTAAATAGATAATAAGCTTCAGGAAAGTGAGAGCGTCTCAGCTTCTAGAAGTCCCTGCATTCTTCGGCCCGTTCCTCATATCACCCAACCCACTACTTCCATCATCACATCTCCTCCTCCTGCCCCCGCTGGCAAGGACCCTGTGGTTCCAGGGGCCATGTCGAGAACCCAGGGTCACCTCCCACCTCAGCTGCAGGGTCCCTCTGGATGTGGGAGGTGACATTCCTAGGTTCCGGGGGCTACGATGTGGACACCTTTGGGGCTGTTTTTCAGTCCAGCCACGGAAGACGTACATGGTCAGTGGTAATGAAGCAGGCACAGGGGAGCTGGGAGAGGGTGCAGGTGGAGGGAGCGGCTAGCTCAAAGGTGGGGGCTAGAGAGGGGAGTGGAGAAGAGAGAAATGAGAGCAAAAGTGGGTCCCCAAAGGCCTGGTGACAGGGGCCAAGAGTGGGCCACCGTTGGGGCCGTGAGTGGGGAAGATGACTGTCCTGCTGCCTACAGGGGATGGGGCGGGAGTCGCTGTGGGCAGGACACCGTGTACGGACACAGAGCTGAGGCAGATGTTGGCAGATGGGCCCCCAGGCACCGCTCAAGGCCAGGGTAACAGCGCCAGGCACCCTGCTGCTTCCCTGGCGTCTGACCCATTCCTGAACTTCCATGTTTGGTCATCCTGTTCTGGATGCACTCACCCCGGTGGGGCGGGAGGGACTCCAGAAGGATGCTGCTGTGACCCGAGGGCCTGCTGCTCACAGGACAGGACGGTCCGGGGCTCC